CCTCTTGATGTGAGTAAATCGCAAACTAAAACTAAGTTGCCCTGCTTAAGATCGCAGTTTTCAGTTAACCATTCCTGCTTATTCTGCAGTATCGGTAGATATACTCTGATCCACCTACACCAAAATCTATAGGACAGATGTTCACAATGGTAACCGATTGTAGCACATAGAGTGAAAGCAATGCGATTTGGGCAGAATAATTAGGGAATAGAGATACCGTGTCCTCAAGTAAACAATCCAAGTTGGGGAATACATCAAAGTTCATTTTGGACTTTACAGGGCATATCTACAATACCCCACACATGGACAAAACTGAAAACCAACTTCTCGCGGATATATTCAATTGCATAACAGACCATCTGGCTACGTGCAAACTAGTCCGAGGGGATTACAATATGCCAGAAGTATCGTGGCACACTTACACATCCCAAGCTAGGTTGTTTGATTTTCGACCGACTATTTGTTCGCAAGCCTGGTCACAGCACGCTTCGTCCGCAACACAAAATGACAACATACTAGATTTTGCCTTTACTTTGGAAATTCTCGATGGCAATGTCAAAATCTTGGACAAAGTCCCGGGTAGTGATCATAATGTGGTGCCATTCAATTGCACTATGCCCACACAAGCATAGAACGCCGAGTACATTGATATATTCTAAACGTCATACCGTTCGATTAACTGGGACAAGCTCACAACCCTAATAAGGTCAATACAATGGGATATATCTTTTCTCACATGTGACCCAGATGTTGCCGCTGAAACCTTTTATCAAAATATAAACCAATGCTAAGACACTAACGCTCCAGTTTTGCTAAAGAGGCACCCCAACACTACTGCGAACGTTCGCGCCAGCACGCTTGCTAAATGAAAAAATAAGCAAACTGGTCTGCTTCCAGAAGAAATTCCGTGACTTCACCATACTATATTAAGTCCGTAATGTAATCTGCAAGTTAGAATCTGCTCGATCTGAGAGATGGTTTTATGAAGAATATCGAGCTCTCGTAGACACAAATAAACCAAAACAGCTTATAAAGCTTCTCAGGAGGATGCAGAAACGACTGTATCACGTCGCACCCCTGCGACAAGTGGCGTCATTCAAGGCAGCGTTCTGGGACCACTTCTCTTCTTGATGTATATAAATGACATTTTTAACGTTTATGTATATGGTAGATGATATAATTGATGGGACGCCTCTTGAAAGATTGCGTAATTGCCTGATGAGATTGTCGCTGGCACGGTTGGAGCACGCCTACGATAACGGCTTGTAACGCTGGCCAATCGAACGGAGTTGCGCTGACCTGATGACGTTAGCTTACCCGGTGAGACGAAAATTAAGCGAGCGTGTGAACGAACGATGGGATATTGCAAAGTATCACCCGATCAGAGATATTACCATACTGCTTACAGTTATGGAGAGAATTATAAAGACCACAACTTCCCGGTTTCTAATATCAAGGAACCTAATCAGCCAATCACGACTTTGCTTTATTAAACAGCGTTCTTGTCAGTCCTGCCAAGTAGACTTCCTAAACCACATCACAAGCTCATTTGACGGTGGTAAAGCTTATACTGTCATATTTCTTGACATTAAAAAGGCCTTTGACCAAGTACCACATGGCAGGCTTTTGACCATTCTATCAAGGTATGGCATCGCTGATCCAGTAATTTCTTGGTTCTCCTCATACCTTATTGAGAGAAAGCAAGGAGTCAAGATAGGCAACCACACATCAGATCGCACCCCAGCGACAAGTGGCGTCATTCAAGGCAGCGTTCTGGGACCACTTCTCTTCTTGATGTATATAAATGACATTTTTGACGTTATTGTATATGGTAGATGTTATAATTGAGGGGACGCTTCTTGAAAGATTGCGTAATTGCCTGATAAGATTGTCGCTGGCACGGTTGGAGCACGCCTACGATAACGGCTTGTAACGCTGGCCAATCGAACGGAGTTGCGCTGACGTGATGACGTTAGCTTAGCCCATGAGACGAAATTTGAGCGAGCGTGTGAACGATCGTAGCCGCACGTGTTCGGATAGACGCTGAGCCCTCGGAACGGACGCACACGAGAGGGGGTTACGATAGACGCGCGCTAATGACTTAGACGCGAAGGCTGGCGAGCTAACGACTCGCAGGCAATCACGTGACCCGACCGACTCCCAAGTAAGGTGAAGAGGAAAGAAAAGACAGGCGGTCCTCTGAAGGCTCTTTTACGACCAACAAAGGGCGAATCACAGCCAATGCTATGGGTCATTAAGTAAGGGATAATTTCTACCATGACGAGGTGGTAGTTTGTAAAAGGCCATTGTCAAAAAGTGCGTAGTTGGGCCGCGTCTTGGAGTGGTTGATCACTGCTACGTTGTGAGGAGGAATTGGACCCCGCTTCTCACAGCCATTCTGCCGGGGTTTCTGGCGCGTTTTTGCGGGGATTTTTGACGGGCCCGCAACAGTAGGCTCTACATGTTTGCAGACGACATAAAAGTTGTGTACACATTTGATCGCAGGAATCAAGAGCCAGTGTTTTGAAACATACAAACTGACCTGAATGCATTAGAAGTATAGTGTTGCACTTCAAATATGAATTTCTCCGTCGAAAATAGTAATGCCATCTCATACAAATGTGCAACCGCTAACCTTCTTCGGTAAATCCATAGAACATGGCAACATAAGTAAGAGACTTAGGGCTTCACTACACCAGCAGCTTTAACTTCTCCGAACATGTACAATACACTGTCGTTAAAGCCAAGAAAAAGAATACACTGCTTCGCAAACTATTTACCTTAGCAAATGCTAAACTTACATTGTACAAGACTTGCACACGTCCAATGTTAGACCTGCTGTATGGTATTCGGTAATGCAAGGCAGTGACAGCGCACTAGAGCGCGTTCAGCGTGCTTTTATAAGACAGATCCTGGGCTCTACTCAGAGCATAACTTACTCTGAACACTGCAAACTGCTAGTGTTAGACCCGATATGGCTGCGTAGAATAAAGCTAAACATATCACGGCTTTTCAATGTAACGCATTAGCGCATTCATACACCTGGTTACTCCCCCAATTGCAACACAATAAACGTTACCATATCCGTAATAAAAATTGCACACTTGCGATTGCAAAAGCGCGCACCAATATGCGGGCAAACTTTTTCCTCATTAGATTTGCTTTGATTTGGAACAGTCACCACTGTTTATTAGATCATGCACATCCTCTCAAATGCTTCGTGTACAACTGGATAAATTTCTCACAATCTCAAAAGCTATGTAACTGTTCAAGCTGAATATCGCTGAGACAGAGATTTTTTCAGAAGGGACCAAAGGGCATATAATGCGTGTCCGTTATACCTTCCGGTGGTACATTAAAATGCTTCATTGACATCACAGAAAAAAGGAGGAAAAAAATCAAATTTTCGTACCCACACTTCCAAAATTTGTCGCTTTTTATCCTCACCCGGCTATACAAACCTCAAGGTCTCCATATCAACAAGGTGGCTAAAGAGTGGCGCGATAAACCAAGCCCTCTTCTTCATTCATCCGATCAAGGTTATAGTATTTCCCTATTCGGCCGCGCCGAGCTCGAGGCTTTTGTGTCTACATGGGAGTTGACAATGCGAAACTAAACCGAGTCCTCATTTTCACTCCTTGGACCCTTGCTATATTCTCGCAGTAACCGGCCATGCGTATCTCTCAAGGCCTCCATGACCACATAGATGCCTATGAAGAAGGTCAAGTGAGTACGCATTCTCTTCTACAACACGACCATTACACTATTCATCTTCAATCATATTGCAACGAGCGATGGTTTCTATTGGTAACTCTGTTCCAGATACCGATGCGTGTGTCTCAAGGTACCATTAATAACAGATATACCATGTAATTAGTGTTTAAGCACCGCCTCCGCTACAGATCCCGAAATATTGGCAGGCCTATTGACGATATATAGGAATAGAAGCCTGACACATTCTAATGAATGGGTCATCTCGAACATTATATTATTAGCTAATATGCATGTCTCCCTTACCTATTTTTACGCACTGTATGCTGTTGAACACATTATTAGTAATCTGCATCATATTTTCTTCACAATGTATTAACTTTGCTAAAACTGACATAATTACGTCGGTCTTCTCCGCTTGCAAATCGAATAACCTGTCAACCGTTCTATCTTCTCAGCATGTCCCTTCTTCCGAGCCTCGTTCCAATACTGCGAAGAAATATTCCCATAAGCCTGGCTGCTTGGCGTATAGATTGCGTTCTGCTACATGACGAAACAGTCAAGCTCAAGCCGCTTCCGACTACTGTGCTATGATAGCCTACACCGCGTGCCATATGTAAGCATTTGAATAACAAGAAATGTTACATTGCAATACCTTCGCGAACTACCAATCAACATGCGATTGACACTGATCTTCTAAAGGGTTTGAGTGACAGTTCCATTTTCCATTGGTCTGTAACATCGACAAATTTGCGAAACACTTGTACAATTTGATCGGACCAACATACTGGGCCTTGTCTCGCACAGTGGAAAAATAAACAAATTTATTGCTCTATCTACATTAAAATCCGTGCCTTCGATAAAGTACAGCGAACTGGACAGACTGGCCGATGGGAATGACTTCGTCATCATTATTGTAGCCCAAAAAGTTACAGTCTTCCATGGTAAATCGTCAGTGCGCTACGGTTGTGGACTACTTCCTTGGGAACCTTCCAGTTTGGCGAATCGGGATTGCACTGTAATTCAGCATCCGGACCAGTCAATCCAAGCTTTTGTACTAACTGGACGGTCAGCAGTCTAGTGCTCACATGCAGAACATGGATCACCACAACCCAATGAGAAACCAGCAGACAGAGGCAAATAGATATGTGCCAAAAAAGTAACTCACACACACTAGACAAGTTCACAAAGGCACACCGTAGAAACAAACAAGGTTGGCATTCTATCAGTACAGGAATGGTGTTTCAGTTGTGAGACAAAGCTGACGAGCCAAAATAGGCTGGCAAAATACCTGGGAATTCGAGTCTGATGAGAGAGCCAAGGTGAATGCGTCCACTACAGAACACGCATTTCAGTTCCGGTCTCTGGAATGATCGAGTTCAGAACCCAGTGTGGCACGCGTTATCGACGGAGCACAGCTGGTCATCCGAATTCATTCGCATACGGAACAAGCATTCGGGTGCGAATCGAGTCTGGTTACACTTTCGCTCGAGCAGTTCACCCAGTCTCCCTCGAAAATCGCGGATGAACTGGAAACGGAGAACAGAACAGAACAGTGCAAGTGAAAAAACCTGCTTCATCTATGAACAACGTTCATTCAGCATCCTATTTAAAACCACAATTTCATTAAGAGTGAGGAATTACGGACAAGTTAAACAAATGATCTAGCAGATGCACCAATGAGTTTTCCCATATACAAACATTGAATACGTGCTCTCAAGATGGTTTCGAATGTTAAGTACTTCTGTTCCCTTCGATTGATATGACTTGTGCCCGATAAAGTGTCGCGAAATAGACGCCCGGTGTCTCATTCGGTTACCTAAAGTTGGACCCAAGTAAATAATAATAATCTTTAGGTGGATGGTATCGCATGTGACTCCGTAAGAATCGAAAAGGATGTCTGGGCCTCGATGAAAATCGAATATTCATAAATAAAAGGGTCTCTGTAAAGCTCACATGCATCTGAGTCAATCACAAATTGGCTCATTTCCTCCGCCTGTTACCCTAATCGTATCCGCCTGAACGCTGTTCGTGCCATCCCAAATCAATTTTATTAGCAGTGCGTTCAATCGGGGTCAATTTGGGGCTGCTGCCACAAGCGAGCAAGAAGCCAACTTGAGGTCATTGCTGCCCGTTCGTCAGCCACTACAACAAATGGTGGACGTAAGCACGATAATTCTTCCAAACGCGCGATATACCAAGTACGCAGAAATGGAACAGATGGCTGTTCTGTGCTCGTGAAACTCATTAGAAATATGCATTCGGACAGTCAGAAGCTTGCCACACAAAATTGTAAGGCATGAATGCTTGCCGAACAGTAGGTGGCTGGACGGTGTGATTGATTGTAATGTGGTGCCATACACTTCACTACAATGTAAAGGACAGGGTTGCTTGTTGATGGAGACGAAACCTCACACACAAATTTGCGGACCGGCTGGCAACACCTTAAGTGGTATAGAGAGAACGAGATAAGAATCGTAAAAGGAAACAAATGGTAAGTAGAGCGTTACGAGGGGATCAAAAAGAGCACTGGACTCTTTTTCAGTCGATCAAGAGCTCGTGTCTGTATTGGACATAAGGGCCCTAGTCAACACAGTGTCCAGCCAGGTGGTCGGGCGTGGTTGCAACTACGGTGAACAAAAAAACCTACCTGCCACTTGCTAAGTAAAACGGAAGATGCATGATCAAAAAAGCTGGAACATCATGCACTCCTTAGCTAGAGAAAATGGCATCGATGGTCACACTCAACTGAAAACTCGGATGTATGTAAAGCGCACTTCCTGATATTACTACAGTCACCACTAGTACGTATTGAATATGTCATCTCGATTGATGACGAAGCCCCTGGATCCGAATTGCGTAGTTCGACGAGCGAAGCAACATCTCAGAAAACTAATACCACTACGGAAGATAATATGCATAAGAACCACCAGCAACTGCTTTCACAGCAAATGAGCGCTTCGTACTCTGCAGGCAAGAGCCAACGTGATGACAAAACAAGTGACTCTTCGTACGCAAGGTTCATTGGAGCGCTATCTATTGGTGGCGCGGGGATGCGCGTGAGGTGACTGCCAAGCAGGTAGGCGAAACAAATCCCAGACCTATCAAAGACTACGCAGTAAGATTATGCGACTTCGCAGAATCTATGTTAGAAGTTAGTCGAAGACGTATCGGCACCAATAACATGATAAATATAAAGCAAAATATTGTGTCCGCTGTACGCCGTAACTGCGTTTGGTTGCAGCGCGACCACGTGGGCGTGGGTTGAGCATACCGCGAGGACGCCCACCCCTACGCGGATTCGAACCGGTGACCTTATGGTTGCAAACCAAACGGGTAGACCACTCAGACACCGGCCGACAAAAACATGATGTCATCGTACAACAGTAATGCATCGAAAGTAGTGCTGGACAAACACGGTGGTCGACAAACACTGCTCCTGTGAAGTCCTGCAATCGTGGAGCACGCCTGTGGAGGCATTTCCTGTCTAATCACGGGCGCGCCCACATTATCACCTTGGACGAATTTGCTGAAAATAGCAACGGATATAAAAGCAAACACTGAACAGTTTTCTGTAAGTAAAGAGTGAGATCAAAAATATATGTGGCAAAAAAGAAAAAAACGTGTAGCGACGGACTTACCGCAGATTTCAAGTGTACACATCATTTGGTTACCTTGTCGCGTGTATCCCAGTAACTTGGATCATATCACGTAATGCAGTTGATGTGATGAATCCCCAAGTGTAGTTTTGAATTCGGACAAAATGCGGAAGTGAGCTCCGCGGCTGGGATACACGAAAAATGAGAAAACGTTCCGGAGCCATTCCAGCCGACTATACTGTGTTGCTAACTTCAAATGGTGGCCCCACAGCGAAGTGTGGTTGAGTTCCGAAAAGAGAATTTCATGGAAAACCTACGTAACCAGACTGCAACCCAATAAAGCTGCAAAGGACCGCTTCGTTCCGTTAGGACTCCTCAACGGTAAGCGTCTCTTTCGAATGTTTAGAAATTCGAACCTTAGGAGCGGACCACCATAGCCGATTGTTGAAGGCGACACAGGGCTCATTCATGGCCTCAGGGACGAGTGAATGCGTTGTTATCCCTTTGAACACATCCAACTCGGTGCAGAAGGCCGAAAAGTAAACCAAATTTTGACCGAAACGATAAAAAGTCGCGAAAACTAGTAGCACCCGTTCCACGTGAACTCCATGCGCACGTGACAGTGTGGTCCAATGGACACAGCAGAGAAAAACGGTCCACGTGCAGTCGGTGTATGTCGTGTTTCGGAAGCACGTTTGGTATGCCAACATCTCCACTTGGTTTTCAACAGTCAAGTCACACTGACAATGTACACATATGTATGGGTTCGTGACACTTAGATTATTCAAGTACCCAAAACTCTCCTTGAAGCTGAGTCTTTGGTTCGATGTGAGAATCGTAAACACCTAAAGAACAATAGTGTGGGCTGGTGAGTTCTTCACATCAAAAGCAACTACAAAGGAGCGACTCGCTTACTGTCTTGGGAAGTGTAACACGTAATAGATGTGTGTGACAAGCATATGTTCAAAGGTTCCGAAGAGGTAATCGCAGAAGCTGAGCATTTTGAGACCGTAGGCGATGTGACTTGTTGTTTTCCATACTTTTTTGTCAGTGTGCAGCTAAACTGATTGAACCAGTTCATGTGGCCTACGATAACTACACGCTTTTGTCGGAAAGGGTAAATAGAAGGTCGTCATTATTGCTGAGATGGTTTAGGAGCTGAATACACTCGAGTCGCTTCGTCAACAGCATCTGGCAGCAACGACTCAATGCTAAAGGAAAGTGTTAGTAATGAAGTTTGCGTACACAGTACCAGTCTTCAAAAGAGGACACCGAACAAACTGCGCCAATTATCAAGGGGCCGGTCTTTGTGTTGACTTCCATGCATAGGCTTAGTCGAGTACACGAACAACGCAAACGAGAAGAAAAGCCTGTTTTTGCTTAGGTCGGAGCGGTATGGTTCACATCTTTACGATTCACGAGATGTTCCGGCACTGTTGAGCTCATCATTGTTTGCTTCCCGGACATACGTGTAACGCATGACTCAGTTGACCTCATTGCTCTCGATGGTTTACCTATTGAGAATCGATGCCAGAGAAGTGCGCTAAGGTTCTTCAAGCTCTTACTTCTCTAACGTCAAGCCGAGTACGGGTGTACGGCGGACTTTCGCACCCCTACTATCGCCACTAGTGTCAGACAGATTTGCAACGCACTACCCTCCTTGTTCAGCTTCGTTTTGGTTGACATATTAGTGTTGAAGAATGCTGACGACATCGCCGTAAACCGTAACATCTCGTACGCTGCCCAGAACGCATTGCCCATATCGGAGGTGTCTGTCTCACAATTCGGAATGTTTCTTACTCTTTCCAAGTACAAGGCGTTCCTACTGGACTTTTTAAAAGGCACTCAGGCCATCATCCTTACCGACTTTTCCTTGGAAGCAGTCGACCAGGTCGTTTATTTTTGGGCTTGCATTAACGGATGAGATGAATTTGTGCGTCTCCAAAGCCGGAGTAGCCTTTGCGAACCTCCGACATTTCTGGTGCCAGTGTGATCTCATTCCAAGTAGACGATTTCATGGATGACAATATTACTTCACTTGATTTTCTTACTATACTTCCCATTTGCATTGAATATTTTTGTGGATCTTGTTCCGTGTTATCTCATTTCTACCATACTACTGTCCTACCGGTATTACCAAGTGATTTAATCTTTAGACTGCATTCCTGATGTTATAAGTCGTGTTCTTTCTGTCTCTATGACAAGAATTTGTTTGTTGACTGGACATTTTCCTAATCACCTTGTGTTCAGTGCTTTGTACGAAACCGTTATTCGCTGATTTTGCCTTGATGGGCGTGTCTCGCAATGCCGAACTGCAATGTGCTACGAAGACAAACAGCGTTTGGTGGTCACGATGCTGGATAATCGTAGGGAATTGCGCAGTCGGCTATTAACTGGAATCCAAGCAAGTGGCGTTAGTTCTGTACGCGCACTTGACGCAATTCCCACATCAATTCGGCCCGCGGCATCAACAGGACTGACTACACTCATACACTTAATGGTAGTTGAAGTTCTGTTACCCGACTAAACCAGAATACGTGGATGACAAAGCCCGTGGTGTACAAAAGAATCTCATGGGATCCATTGATGTACACCATCAGTAACAAATGGGGAGAAGATCGCTATTGGCACTAATGGTAACCGATTGTTTTAGACACGCCCTTTCATAGCCTTCGGCCAACAATGCGGTAACAATCGGCATGCCAAAGTCATTAGATGTAGACGGTAGCAGAGAACAGAACCGAGGCCTAGCGGTTGCAACAGAGGCAACACGAACGAAGCGAGCGTTACAACAATCACTTCGGGTGGTTGCCAAAGAATCGTGAGGGCTTGATAGATCAGACACGCAACAGTGCTTGTGTATAGGAAGAATGAAGTAGTTATCGAAGCATGGATCCTGAAGCGTGTAGATATGCATCGTATCCAGCCTC